TTGGTACACCTTCATTTTTGGATCTTGCATTACCTTGTTGCCTAGTACCATTCGAAACAGACTCCTCGTTTTGGTTAGCAGTAGGCAGTGTTCTTTTTGTTGCTTTTTTTTTATGTGTCACTATTGTCCAATGGTCTATTTCTTTGGTTAGGGTATCAACCTCCATGTTCATGTTATTGTTAGTGGCAGGTTTTGGCTTTGAAGTAGATGCAGCATGAGGGCAATTGATTGTATTATGTCCTAGTCGTCCACATAACTCGCACAAGAGATTGAAACCCTCGTAGGCTATTTTTTGGTAGTGATTCCCTATTATGATGTGTGTTTTAAGGGGCTTCTCGATGGGTGTTAGAATGCATAGCCTTGCATATTTGCCTCTAGTGGTTGAAGTGGTGCACGCGTTGATCCTAAGAAGTTTCCCTAGTTTGTTTCCTATTTTGTGAAGAATCTCGTAGTCGTAGAACTCCGTTGGGAGCTCTGGTAATCTAGCCCAGACAGCTGAGAAGGTCAGTGATGCTGTTGAGGCTATGAACCTGGGCTCCCATTTCCTTACAGTGTGGAATTGATTTCCGATGAACCAAGGCCCCTCGTGTAGTGCTTTGTCGTAGTTTTCCTGTCTAGTGAATTTTATGAGGTAATAATCGTATCCAAGGTCAATCAGTGATAGGTGCTCCGTAGGTCTCCATATGGCATGTATTTTTTGTCGTAGGAATTGGTAAGTTACTCGTCTGCCGAATATTTTTATTATTAGAGCATTTTCCCAATTTTTGTATATTCGTTCCTTATCCAGTTATCCACCGAAGTTATGGGTATGAAGTTGTCCGAATCAAAGATGTTTTCAGTTTCATCCGAAGTATCAAAGCCAAGGATAGATTTTTGTACTGTTATTTGGTTTTTGGTTCGAGTAGTGTCTAGGTTTTCTTGCAGCTTGGATGAGAAGGTATTTTTTTGGTCTTGTTTTCCATTACAGTGTTCTGAGCTGTCCATTACTAGTGAGTTCAAGGGCTGTCGTGAGCTTTGTGCATTTGTTTTGTTCTCTGCGATATGTACCATTGCTGCGTCTTTGCCGTTAAGAGAAGGTGTGGTTGTAGCATTTTGATGTGTTCCTAAGTTTTGTTCTTCCAGCATTTGACTTTTGAGTGGAAGTTGATAGAATGGAGCATGGTTGTCTAAGAGAAGAAGTTAGGGTTTTCTAGAGAGAGATCAGACATTCTCACTCTAGAAAAGTTGGCTTTGAAGTATTAGATTTTTTTTTTTTTCTATTTGAATAACTACTTCTTTGATGTTGTTTCTCTTCTTCTTCCTGTGGAGCTACCGCAGTTAAATGCAAATTGTAAAGAGGAAAAATAATTTAACAGAAAATAATTATCCTAGTCTTTTTTTACATAAAAATATGCTAGTCAAATGAATCAAATATAGTTTTGCTTCGAAAATAAAAGTAGATATTGGGATGTTTGAAAGGGCTGAATATTGTTCTGTAATTATGCTATAAGTTTTTAGTTACTAGTTTAATAATTTATTTTTCTATCATTTTTCCGAAGAAAAGCTAAATTCTAGCCTATAAAGTTAAAACACATCTGAAAAAACATAAAATATATTGTATACTAAGAGCTAAGGTTGAATTTGAAGGGAAAAAACTTGAACTCAAATTTCTGTTTATTCCAGTTCCCTAGCTAGAGAATACGTTTATAATCTTTATTAAGGCATTTCGATTGACAAATTCAGCACCAAGAGGGTGCTAGGTTTACAGAGGGGTTACACAATTTTGGGCAACTTTTTGGATATTTTGAGTTACCGCAACAAGTAACAGTAGGGATAAGTTTGACCGAATAGTACAACAGTAGGGAAAAGTTTGGCCTAATAGCAGAACAAAAGTTAAATAGAGATAATATTTGAAAATAAAGGATAAATTTGATCCTTTTCCCTATAGATTAAGAACAAAAAATGAAACTTGCTCTATACAAGAAAGAGAAACTTTCATAAAAAGCACTATTTTTTAGTAGTAATTAGCCATCTATAGATACCATTTGCTATATTACGGATTATAGATACCTTTTCTGTGGTTATAAGATGTATTTGATGTATTTAAGCTATTGTATTCATGAATACAGCAGCAAAAATAGGCGTGAATCAGGGAAGTCCAGCTAATCAGTTGTTGTATTCGAATGTATTCGACTGTATTCATGGAGTGAAACATGGGATTACAGCTTGACAGATTATTGTATTCGATTGTATTCACGGCATGAAATAGGGGATTAAACTGTTTTAAAACGGAAAGTGAATCAATTAACATAATAGACTCCTAATATAACTCAACAAACTCAATTATTACACACAAATTTTGTATTTTTCAGTTACAAAAAAAGATTCTCAACCGAAAAATACCCCAAAAACGTAGCAATCTTCGGAGAAATTATATAATACATCTGAATACATAAATTATATTAATTAAAAAAAACATATGAATACATTCATGGCATATAGCGAGACAGTGAATACAATGAAATACATAGAATACAGCGGGATACATTGAAATACAATGAGAAAAAAAGACACTGAATACAATGAAATACATGGAATACAACGAGATACATTGAATTACAATGAAAAAAAATATAGTGAATACAATGAAATACATAGAAATACAGCGAGATACATTGAAATGCTCTTCAAAAAAAAGTTAACAGAATCTTCAAATTGCTCAACCCCAAACTTCAGACGACCTATTTTAGTCGACGATTTTCCGACGACCCATCGGATTCCGACCATGATTCCATAAGCAGCGATGAGAGAAAAAAGAAGAAAACTAGAAAGATCACTGAAGAAGAAACGAGTTTAGGAGGAGAATGGGAAGGAAAACGACAGTGACAAGCCTTGGCGGATTCGACACTTGCTACACAGTCCCCATTACAATTCCAACAATAACGCTGATGTTTGCGGGCATGGACGTGACGCTGCCGCAAGACAACTTCTTGATTCGTAGCAGTTCAAGCAGTACCACTTGCCTCGCTATGGCTGCTTCCCCTGCTGACCCAGTCAATTCCCCTACGGCTTTGCACAAATCCGGTGGAAGGAGGAGAAGATCGAAAATTTTAATGGGATGGGGGAAGAGAATGAGATGTATCAAAGTAGAGAGAGAAAGAAAATAGTGTAACTGATTAGCGTATTTAGTGGCTTAGGGCTAGGAGGTAACCAAAATTAAATATTTTGCTATATACCTTAAAAGGTATCTATAGAATATAATTATTTTAAATAGTATTTATTTAAAATAAATAAGGTGTTAACCTTTGCTATAAGAGGTAAAAATCCCTACAAGAAATACACGTTAACTTTCACCACAGTAAATTCGAAAGTTCCAAAAGTGTATACAACATTTTCCTACAATTTACTAATTTTTCGTTACCACATCATTGTCATTTCGGAGAAAGGCCAAATATACTCTTGTACTATGAGAAAAGGTTTAAATATACCTCTCGTTATACTTTCGGCCCAAATATACCCTTACTGTAATACTATTGGTTCAAATATACCCCTCTTTCGTTAAGTTTGTCCAAGGTGGACATCCAATCTTATGTGGCACTAACATTTGATGAGATGGATGCCACATGGCATGCCACCTCAACGCCCCAAACCCATTTTACCCCTCCCTTCTATTTTTTTTTTCCATCACTAAACTTCCCTTCCCCTCAGAAAATTTTAGTGGTGGAAAAACAAATATAGTGGAGGGATAAAATGGGTTAAGAGCGCTGAGGTGGCATGCCACGTGACACTCACCTCATCAAATGTTAGTGCCATGTAGGATTGGATGTTTACCTTGGACAAACTTAACGGAAGAGGGGTATATTTAAACCAATAATAATACGACAGGAATATATTTAGACTGAAAGTATAACGAAGGATATATTTAAACCTTTTCTCATAGTACAAGGGTATATTGAACCCTTTTCCGTTGTCATTTTAGTAAGAGAATTCGTGTTTCCTAGGTAATCTTTAATAGCAGCTGAGAGTTAACCCTTGAAAACCACCTTCTCTTGTACAATCTCTATATGATTGCTCATCAGAAGAGCCAATAGACTCCAAACAGATATTAATCATAGCCATCATACTGAACCCTCAGCCACTGACTACAAAAACTGGACCATTCGGATGTCATTGTTTAACCCTTAACCCCAAACAGAATATTAATCATAGTCATCATACTGAACCCTTAACTCAGCCATTGACTACAAAAACTGGACCATTCGGATGTCATTTTTTTTCTCCAAAGAGCATGCACGGATTATCACAAACATTGCCCTATACAACTGTTATAAGAGCTGAAATTTGAAACAAAGAGCACGTAATAAATGTCTTTTGACAGTTGAAAATTCATATTGTAATCTCGGAAGGAAACTACAGAGGAAAAGATTTAAGACCAGACCATTGCCTCTTTAAGCTATCAATTTTATCTTTTGCCTTGACCAACAGTACTTTGGTGCTTTCAATCTTACCTGCTTTTTCTTCTGCTGAAGACATAATGTGGTTAGCCTTTACAGATAGTTCGTGTCTTTTCTCCAGAATTTCAGCCTTCCTCTTCCTAATTGACATAAGCATAGTTTCCATTTCTTTCTCTTCAACCTCTTCTTGGTCATACTTTAACTTCAATTCCATGTCAGTGTTCCTCAAGTCATCTAAAGTTTTCCTGTCCTTCTCAAGCTGAGCGAAGAAATCTTGGCAACTAGACTCGGTCTGGCTTGAGTCCCTCATGTCTTGAACCATTGAAGGGAACACATGTTTGATCTTTACAAACAGCCTGGCTTGTTCATCAGTGAATGACGAGAGATTCTCGTTCAATAAGCTAATTGCTTCCTTCATTGCCTTTTCGTTAGCTGGATCTGCCAACATCTTCAATGGTCCTCTGACAAAGTGTTTCACTGTTTCCTTTGCAGACTCCAGAGTAGAAATTGGTGTACCTGATAGTGAAAGAAATAATTCCTCCGGGATAGACTTCAGGAATGATTTTACTTTGAGGAAAGTTGAGTTCACATCTTGAATTACTGTTGGAGTTCGACTCTGATTAGGTACAGATATGCTTTCATTGGGTTGATCCTGCTTCATGCATTGGTAGAGAACAAGATAAATCCAGGAAAACCATATTAAAGAAGCTATCAGGATGACTTTACTACCTTCACAGAAAGAAAATGACTTGAAACAGGACTTCGACAATCAGCTTGAGGGGTTATGGCCAGCTCATTTTCGATAGCAGAAAATATTTTCCTTCTGGCTGCTGCCATGTCCTCTGACTGTCCCACAATGTCTGAGGATGTTGGCGGAGTTGCTTGTGCCATGGCCTGAAAAGAGAAGATATAGATAGTTAGACATCTAAAGATAAATCCAGGAAAACCATATTAAAAGAGGCTGTCAGGATGACTTTACTACCATGTTTGCAGAAAGAAGATGATCTGAAACAGGACTTCAGCAATCATCTTGAGCAGTTCTAACCAGCTCATTTTCCATAGCAGAAGATATCTTTCTTCTGGCTGGTGCTATGTTCTCTGGCTGTCCCATAATGTCCGAGGATGTTGGCTGATTTGCTTGTGGCATGGCCTAAGAAGGAGAAGACAGAGATTGTAACACATCAAAAGAAAGGCTGAATACATGTCCGGCCCCTTAAACTTGCCCATATTTTTCATTTTGACACTTCAACTAAACATTGTACCTATTGGACACCTAAACTCAAACTAAACTGTGTCTACAGAACACATTTTTCACAACAAGGCAAAACACTTAATGCATGAGGTTCAAGCGCTGCTGACCATGCTATAGGACAAATGAGAAAATGACGAATCATAAGAAAAAAAGAAAGAAAAGAAAAAGAGCACACTTTTCTTCCACCTTCCCCCGTTGGACTGCTTCATTCAACGCCCCATTCCCTATCTGAAATACCATGCCACCATAACACCACCAACAGCAAACCACCCTATTTTTTAATTGAACAACTACGCCATTGCAGTCCAACTTCGCAACTCCAATGTACTCCATTTCAGGTTCTCATGTACATTTTTCAGTGTTATTTGAAGCTTAATTTCTAGCGGATTTGTGTACAACATATCGGAAAAATGAGATCCACGAATCTTATTGATTCATGGGATCAAACTCATTCAACTTTCAATCATATGCCTATAAAACCTTCAAAGGATTCATGAATAAGTGCGTCGATGGCTATGGAAGTGGATTATGTAAAAGAAACGGGTTTTCAGTCAGCAAGGAAGAAGAAGGTGAGGGAGAGAAGAAGGTAGCTGCTGGTGGTTTGAATTTTGCTGGCTAGGGAGGTAGTGGTTGTTTAAGGGAGAAGGGAAGAGATGCCGAGATGGTGGCAACAATGGGTGTGAAGGACAATTTATAGGTACCTAGCTATTTCCGTTCTCATGTTTGAGGTTAATTAGCATTATTTAGTGCAATTTTGATAAAGGAGAGAGAGACATTTTATTTGATGAAGAGGAGAAGTAACTGTGGAACAAAAAAAGAAAAGATAAAACACTTTTAAGTAAAAATATTTTATTTTTGGCAAAATTAGGATTATTTGACTATAAACAAGAACAACTACGCCTCAAACAAAGTTGAGGTCAGCAATATGAATATTTGATTACAAAACTATTAAAAATTTTGTTTTCAGTTTTGAGGAGCTGTATGTGGATCCATTTTGTGGTGGAGGTGGTGGAGATGGTGGTGGCAAATTAAGGTTGAAGAAGACATAAAAAACTACATATAAAGAAAAAAAAGATAAGGGCTTTCTCTCTAAAAGGAGTGTATTACACATGATGTGCCATGTCACCAGTGTGTGCTCAATAGATACAGTATAGTTCGAGTTCAGGTGTCCAATAGGTACATTTTTTAGTTCAAGTGTCTAAATAAAAATTCTAAGGCAGGGTTAAAGGGACCATATATGTATTCAGCCAAAGATAAATCCAGGGAAACCATATAAAAAAAAACTGACAGGAAAACTTTACTACTGTTTTTGCAGAAAAAAGATGAGTTGAAAGGACTTTCAGAGTCAGCTTGAGGGGTTCTAACCAGCTCATTTTCAATAGCAGAAGATATTTTCCTTCTGCATGGTGGCATGTCCTCTGCATGTCCCACGAAATCCAGGGATCTTGGCGGACTTGCTAGTGGCATGGCCTAAAAGAGAAGATTTAGATTGTTGCACATCTAAAGATAAATCCATGAAAACCATATTAGAGAAGATGTAAATATGACTTTTACTACCTTTTTTACAGAAAGAAGAGGGCTTGAAACAGGACTTCGATGATCAGCTTGAGGGGTTCTAACCAGCTTATTTTCGATAGCAGAAGATATTTTCCTTCCAGCTGGTGCCATGTCCTCTGACTGTCCCACAATGTCTGAGGATGACAGCAGAGTTGCTTGTGCCATGGCCTAAAAAGAGAAGATATAGATTGTTATACATCTAATGATAAATCCAGGAAAACCATATTAGAGATGTAAGGATGACTTTTACTACCTTTTTTGCAGGAAGAAGAGAACTTGAAACAGGACTTCCACAATCAGCTTGAGGGGTTCTACCCAGCTCATTTTCGATAGCAGAAGATATTTTCCTTCCGCCTGGTGCCATATCCTCTGATTGTCCCACAATGACCGAGGATGTTGGTGGAGTTGCTTGTGGCATGGGTCGGCGATATGAATCCTCATTCCTTTCATTTAACTCAACTCATATCATCATTACCAAAATAAAATGAAAGTGCAAGTACAATATATATATATATATATATATATATATATATAATAATAATAGTAGTAGTAGTAGTAGTCCTCTACCAAGTCTAAAACCTATTCCCACTATCACCTATATGGATTTTTCTCTTCCATTCTGCCCTACCTTTAGCTAAGTCTACATTGATTCCAAGGATTTGTAGGTCTTTCGAGACAACTTCCTTCCATGTGATTTTAGGTCTACCCCGTCCCCTTTTAATACCTTCTTCCACCATAGTTTCACACATATAGACTGGTGTTTCAGTAGATCGACGCATGATATGACCAAAACATCTCAAGCAACGTTCTTTAATTTTATCCTCAATATGTGCTACTTGTACCTTCTGACGAATGTGTTCAATTTTAATCTTATCTAATCTTATGTGACCGCACATCCATCTTAGCATTCACATTTCTGCAACACTTATCTTGTGGATATGTTGAGCTTTAGCAGCCCAACATTCACCAAGTTTTTAAAAATCTGGAGAGATGGGGGTGGATATGGAAGTCATCCTTCTAATTTTAGCAAATTTAAAAGGGTGAAAATATATATATATATATATATATATATATATATATATATATATTCAGTAAACTAGTCTATTGAAGCAGCTACAGGGGTTAGATTGCCAAAAATGCAAGAGTTTACAGGAGTCTGATGCACTTTTCTCAAAGGGATATGAATTAAGAAAAACGTAAAAATTTAGGAAACAAATATGAGCACAAATTTTCTGTTAGTGCAAGGGCTTAAAGAGAATAACTTTTAGACACAAGTTGCTTAACTGGAAAAGGAATAAAGGTTTTAATTGATAGCAAGACCAACCTCTTGTAAGAGGAGGTCAAGCTAGACAATGATGCTTCTACTCTAACCACGTCATTTTCAGTACCACTATGATAAAGCTTTACATGTTAATCCATCTTCCAAGCAACAGAAATACTAAAAAGACAATCTTATAAAGAAGATATTCACACGTGCAGTACACATCAGCTGGACCTACTTTAATAAAAGAAAACTGACATCAATAACTTAATTTCTTTATGTCTACAGATGGGAAAAAGAATGGCACGAGGGAGTGAGGAGAATAGCACAGTTTCAGGTGAAACTAACTCACTGACTTATCGTTGCCAGGTATTCAATAGCTTCCCTCATGGCATAAAGAATCATCTTTTTGACCTGCAGTTGGGATAGCAGATTATCACCTTCACCAATATTACATTCAAGCAAACCTAAATAGAGGATTTCTGCAAAAGGTTCCACACTCCTAAATTATGTAATTGAAAGATTTAAAAGGCACCATTAAAGCAATATCCACCAAAAAAAGTAGATAACAAGACACGACTAATATAAGGGCTTTCAGTACACTATGTCAACTATTTGCACAAACATTTGAGATGGATAAGTTAGCAAAATGAGCTGTTATACTGATTTAATGAGAAAGTATTATCTTATGGGGAGTAGTATTAAGTTGTATTCTATCCACAAGCAATTACTCAGGAGTGTAGAGACTGAGACTTAGGCAGAAAGCTTAATTATTCCTTCAAGCTTGGTTGGGGATTTATAGCTATTACAAAGTGTACATATTTGGTAAGTGTATAATTACAGAATGAAATCCTAATCAAACGCCTACATCAAATCTCTAAAATCCTTAATCAAATAATCATTATTCCATACCAATCACATAATATCTCCTAATCAAATCATCATGATTTTATGCGAATCACATAATATCTCAATGCTCCCCCTCAAGCTGGAGCGTACATATCATAAGCGCCAAGCTTATTACAAATGCAGACCTCCGAGGGATTTAGTAAGAACATCTGCCAACTAATCACTCGAGCTAACAAAACTGGTGGTTATACATCCGGACTCGATCTTTTGTCTAATGAAATGATAGTCGACTTCTATATGTTTTGTCCTCTCATGAAAAATAAAAATTGAGGCAATATAAAGAGCAGCTTGATTGTCACATATTAGCTTCATCTGGTTGACATCACATATTAGCTTGTTTCAACTAAATAAGCTCACAGGTAGCAAGAGTCATAGCTCAATATTCAGCTTCAACACTATATCTAGCAACGTCTGGCTTTTTGGTCTTCCAAGAGATTATGTTCCCTTGAATCATGACACAATATCTAGAAGTGGAACGTCTGTAGAGAACATGCCCAATCTGCATCAGAATATCCAACAATATCGAGGTGACCCTTGTCTTCATATATCATCCTTGTCCTGAAGCTCTTTTTATATATCTGAGGATACGGATTACTGCACCCCAATGACCTTTACATGGGGCTTGAAGAAACTGGCTAAATATACTCATTGCAAATGAAATATTTGATTGTGTAACTGTGAGATAATTCAATTTCCCGACCCGTCTTTGGTATTTTCTTGGGTCATCCCGCAGCTCCCCTGTCTAGCAACAAGTTTGACATTCTGATCCATAGGAGTATCAACATATTTACAATTTGTCATACTTGCCTCCTCTAGTCTATCCAAAGCGTACTTTCTTTATGAAATTGCAATGCATGTCTTGGATTGTGCTACCTCGATCCCCAAAAAGTACTTTAGCTTCCCCAAATCTTTGGTTTGAAAGTTGTTGGATAGATGTTGCTTTAGTTGAACAATTCCTTCCTGATCACTACATGTTATGACGATGTCATCAACATAGACTACCCGATAGATACATTTATCTGGACCATCATGCCGATAAGAAATAGAGTGACCTGTGACATCCCAACTGCCGGACCACTGAACTTAATCTCCTGAACCATGCTCTTGGAGATTATTTTTAAACCATAAAGTGATCGTTTTAGACGACATACTAGGTGAGACGAGTATCCTAAGAAGATAGCTTGAAGGTTATCCTTCCTAGAATTGTGATCATGAACAAAATAAATACAACCAAACACTCGCAATAGAAGATGATGAGAATTTTGTTCGGGAAAGAGAATGGACTGAGGACTCTGATGTTGCAGCAAAGTAGAGGGCATACGGTTAATCAGATAACAAGCCGTAGAATGGCATGCCCCAAAAACGAAGAGGCACATGATGGTGTAGAAGGTACGGCCAGTTTCGATGAGATGCCGAACTTTTCCATTCGGCGACTCCATTTTGTTGCGGAGTAAATACACAAGAAGTCAGGTGAGACCTGGAAGGCTGCAGAAAAGAGAGAAGGGTGTTCTTCCAGTCTCAGAATTTTAAAGCGAGCAGACATTTTCTCCCTAGCTCTGATACCATGTAGAGACTGAGACGCAGGCAGAAAGCTTGATTTTTCCCTCAAGCTTGGTTGGGAATCTATAGCTATTACAAAGTGTACATATTTGGTAAGTGTATACTTACAGAATAAAATCCCTAAATCAAATCTCTAAGATCCCTAATTAAATCATCATGATTCAATGCCAATCACATAATATCTCATAATCAAATCATCATAATTTTATGCAAATCACATAATATCTCAACCAAAAACATAGAATATAGTATTCCCTCCAAGATGACGAATTCCAAGGATTTATTAATCGTGCTTAAGACAGAACTCGTTTAGCGCTCAAACTGATATGACAGAGCATTAAACATTACTCGACTATTGAAAGCCTCTTGAGTTCTTTTGGTTTAAAGGAAGGTATTGCCTTATTTGAACAAAGTGGAGAAAAGGCGATTTTTGTGGTATAAGTGAACAAACACTAATATCTTAACCGAAGGAACAGCAGCCTGCATCTCTGACTCTCCGACTCTGGAAGAACTTTAACTATAGCTAACCTTCTTCAGTGCTGAATTAAAGATAGAGGTCAGGCGGGTAGTGAAGGCTCATTTAGTAGAGTTAAAAGACAGATACTGTTGTTGCCAGGCAAGGGAACTTGTCTGGTCTTGCATTACACCCGTTCGCCTAACGAGATTCAAAGATGTCCAGTTAAAATTTATTAGAAGAAAGTTGTTCTACAACAGTAAATAATTAAGCTCCCCTTTGAGTTTCAGATATAGCCTTACACACAGATGCATGTCATACTTAGCTACATATGTCTAGAACAATTGGAGAGCATATATATAAATGATACTCCCTCTGTCCTGAAAATAATGGCGAGATCCAGAATAATAGAGTCAAACATCTAATTCTCGGGGTGAACTAAGACATTAATTCATCAAAACTTTTCAAATTAAATTTACATACTTGAAACTATATAAAAAGTAGTCTAACCCGAACTTTTCTACAACTAGAAACAATTGGAGACGTTTTAAAAGCTGTTTGACTCCCCAAAATGATTTGGTGTCATATGGGGTAGAGGGAGCAATCTATAAACTAAATAAGGAACGGGATGTGGTACAGTGCACCAACAGCAGCAAAATGAAATTATTTAAAAAAATGGTAGTAAAGAAACAGAAGCATATAAACAGCACTGAGAAACATGAAACAAGAGAAGTACCTCTAATTTGTCTTCTTTGGCAACATGATCTTGGGGAAGTTTGCGAAATTCCTCAGTCAAACGAATGCATTCACCAACATTTTCAGGTGAAACGAAGAGAAGAGCAACATTTATGCACGACTGTAGAAGCGAGAAACAAATTTTTGAATAACCAAAAGAACAAGACCAACATTTTCTTTTTTTTTTTTGATAAAAAGACCAATATAATTATCAATATTACTAGTTCCAAGCTTATCGAACAAAATAGTCTTAAAGACATCTGATGGCCTCATTCTAAAATGCACGCCACAATCACCTGAATTACTATCTGATTTTGATAGCATTTGATAGGAAAGTATTATCCAAAAGAAACCGACTCTGTTCCAATAGGCAAACAGGTTAGTTTTCAATATCCAAGAACCTTTTAGTATGACTGGAAAACCATCTTACATTCAGTTATCAAGAACCACCAGCTGACAAGATAGAATTACAAGTTATAGCTAAAATTTTGTCAAAACATGATTATCTTAGATTTCACATACTATGAGATATCTGTGAAGAGCTTTGTGAGATGTCTCAGCAAATTGTAGAGCATGTAGACACTGTCAACTTCTCCAGAATTATGTTTAGAGAAGGTAAGATTATATAAATAAATCCAATTACCTTACCAGTGACCTCAAGTTTGTGGACTTTGGCTTTTTCCATACTACAGCTTCATTGTCTTCTCTTATACATGTTCTGAAGTAGCTAACTTTTATTCGTGCACTCCCCATCATGGCTAAAGAGAGATGCTCCTAATTCTCTCAAGAATCTAGATGTCATACAAAGCATTAGCATGGCCAGTCTTAAAACTAGGCGAAAGCTGCCAGAGACAGGAACAAGTGAAGGAACCTTGGCTCTCTCTGTCAGATCACACACTGAAGAGAAAAGGGTTTTTCAGTAGTTGGGTTTTTTATAAATGGGTAGGTTCCCTGGAGGCAATCAGAAACTGAACTGCTGAAGAATGGGAAATAGCAGATGGTTGAAGATTATGTAGCTTGGTGACATGAAATTCCTACTTCGTTTTGTGAATGAGGAACAGGCTGCCAAGACTTTTGCAAAAAGTCGTTTAGTGGTTGTTTATTGGAGCTGGAAAGATGGGTATGTTGACTGACTATTTTCTGCCGAGACTATGGTGGTAAATTTGGCGGGCTACCGGTTCATCAGCGATGTGTTGACTAATTCAAGAAGGTTGGGGGATCTTTACGGGGGTTTTGTTGATGTTGTTTGTAGTATGCATGATATGTCTAGGGTGAGAATCATGGTGAGAAAGGGGGAAGGGTTCCTATATCTATAATAATAATGGATGATGGGGTAAGGGGATATAGAGTTTGGATGGACCCAGAATTTTGACCTGAGGTTTGGTCGTTGGAGGAAGGGGAAGACAAGGGGAGAGGAAGGGCAGGGGGAAGGAAAGAGTTAGGTATGGGGAGGAAGGCAGGGAACAAGAAGGGTGGATTTAGGTATAGGAACGGTCCCAATGCAAGATCAAACCATATAACCTATATTAGTGAGAAGTTGAAGTGGACTACATTGAATTACTCTACTTATGATAAGGAGCTTTATGCATTAGTTAGGACCTTAGCTAATTGGCAAAATTACTTGTGGCCTAACGAATTTGTCATTAAGATCACTCATGAGTCATTGAGGTATCTTAAGAGTCAAGTAAGCTGAAAGAGAGACATAATAAGTTGATTGAGTTCATAGAGATTCTTTTACATGTGATCCACTATAAGCAAGATATGGCATATGCACTTTCTAGGAGGCATGCTTTAATAAATACCTTGATCTGGTTAATGGGATTTGAGAGCTTGAAAGAACTATATCCTAGTGATCATGACTTTAATGAGGCCATTTAGAAGCATGGATAAGATAAGTATAGAAAGTTTCATAAGCAAGATGGTCATTTGTTCAGAGATGGGAAATTGTATGTCCCTATCTCTTCTTGGAGAGAGTTGTTTGTGAGGAAAGCTCATAATGGGGGATTAACGGGACACTCGGAGTTTGGAGTGCCTAAGACTTTGGATATCTTAGGAGAACACTTCTATTGGCCTAAAATGAGGTTTGATGCAGAGCAGATTTATGGTCAATGTCTTGAGTAGTTGAGTGTACGCAAGCTAAGTCTAGGTCACTAACCCAGGGGTTGTATACCTCATTGCTTATTGCTAGTGGACCTTAGTTGAACAATTCATGGATTTTTGTGCTTGGTTTGACTAGGACTTGAAAAGGTAGAGACCGCATATTTGTTGTAGTGGGTAGATTCTCCACAATGGCCCATTTTATACCTTGTTACAGAGTGATGACGCATGTTACAAGAGTGATGATGCATCTCAAGTTGCTTCTTTATTTGTTGAGCATGTTATGAAGTTACATGGCAAACCTAGCACTATTGTAAGTGATAGGGACTTAAAGTTCCTTAGTCACTTTTGGAGGGTACTATGTGGAAGATTGGGAACCAAGTTACTGTTTTCCACCCGTTGTGATCCCCAAACGGATGGGCAAACCGAGATGGATAATAGGACCTTAGGTAACATGTCGAGGGCTATGGTTAAGGATAAACTTGCATCATGGGGGATCATTTACCATTGACTGAGCTTGCTTAAAATCGTTCTTTCTATACATATATTAGCATGACTCCATCTGAGGTTGTTTGGTTTTAACCCCCTTACCCCCTCAGATCTAACACTTTGTCCCTAAATCGATGTTATTAGCCTCAATGCCAAGCAAAGGGCCAATTTGATGAAGAAAAAGAAAGCATGAACAATTTAAGCATCAACCCAAAAAGAGGACTTAACTATCCAAGGTAATCATGGGACTCAATTATCAAATTCCACTTCTTAGGAACCAAAACAGCGAAATTCAAACGATATATTGTTGGATTTGAGAAGAGCTCTTTAAAAAATATCAAGCATCTTGGTAAAGATCCTCACAAAAATGTGAGGATGAACCAGGGGGAAATTAAAATAAATAGAAGTTGCTAGCAAGAAGGTAGCCAAAGAAATCGCCCGATCGTTGCAGTGAAGTGGTGTGACTCGACAAAAGTATCTGCAGATCAGTTGAGTATAGTTGCTTGCTTGAGTCTACTCCACCCCTACCGAAAATTGGATTGAGAAAAGGTTGGAAGCTTGGAGATATGGAAATCTCACCAAAAATATGATGGGAAAGATTGGATTAGGGTTCTAGTAATCTGTAAAATCTAAAACTAATATAGGTTTCAGGAAGGTGAGTCTACTTGAAAGAACCAAATAGGGCTGACAGGTTGGCGCGTCAGATATTCCTTGTCAGATGTAAAGGTGCATATTTGACCTTTGATGACAATGCAACTTCTGTGGTTATGCTTGCATAAGTATTTCTGACCTAGTGTTGGTGTTGGATTATGCATTTGACCTAAGGCAATAATCTTGAATAGATTCATCAGTCGCCGATACATCATGGAGCACAGGTATTCTTTTCCAAAACATTATTGGTGATTGCACCGCAAGTAACTAGGTTTTACTTCTCGGCAAAGCTCTAACACCACGAGAAAATAAGGAAGAGAATAAGAGAATGTGCAAAGACAATTTTTTCCCCAGGAGGCAGGAGCTTTTCTATAGGCACACTTTACAATGCATAAATTACACTCTAGCTGAGGAGAGATAATAATACATACATTACTATATGCCCCTGTACATATTTTTAAGTCTTAACTGTCTTATCTATCTAATATTGGAGTCATGACCCTTGAAGCAGCCCACCTTATTTACAAAGAGGATCCCAGTACCAATCCAAACAAAAGTATACCGGAAAATAACAAGTTTCTAATGGAAAGAAAGGGAGCCAGCATATGGCACATGCTTAGACTGGGTACTTATTGAGCAGATAACCTTGCAAATATTGAAGCCTCACAAGAAGATCCGTCCTTCGTCTCCAAACGACAAAAAATCATATCAACGTTTACTTTAAGCAGATTTTATGGGGAGTTGCTTAATTATGGTTATCCGCTTCTCTGTGCATGTAACCAAAAAAGAATGTCTAATCAAAAAGGTTACAGAACCCAAAAAGTTTCATAAAACTTATGCGAAAAAGAAGTTTGCACAACTTTTATTCACATTCCGATACAATTCAAAACACCTACCACCAGTTTTAACTTTTAAACTATACACTTCCTTCGATGCTCACTTACCAACAAAGAAATGCATGCATAAAGAGGTGGAGAAAAAGTGGACAGTTGACTGGGAAGAAAAACTAGTTGTTCTTATATGAGAAAGCTTTGAAGCATAGTTTGCTAGTTAGCACTTAGCCTTGTTCATTATCTTCGATGTAGCATCTTATTGCTAATATCCAAGTTCCCTTACCAAAAGTCAAAGATCTATTAGTCATAAGTTATGTTGGTGCATTTGGAAAAAGAAAGTCTATAGTTCTTTACTGCTTACTCATTCTGTCATCTTAAAGATCACGGCTGGATAGTTTCAGAACTAAGATAGTGTATTTTTATTCTTCCAACTTCTCAGCCATTAGCACTGTTGCTTCTACAGTAACTGTCTGTCAATCTAAGACAGATAAAATGGGATGAAGGGAGTATCAATTATCACTCTTCCTACCTTAAATCGGCCTTACATTGGATAATCTTTGATAGCATACAAGCATCTAAGGTTACCCACGTCAATTTTTCAACAAAACCTTAGAATAGCGGACAGTCTATTCACAAATTGGCCTGTGGCAAAAGGCAACTGTAATATGCTTCAGTCTTTAAGTTGTTTTAGTTACTTTGGCTGCAGAATGTATATAGTTGAAAACTTAAGTTATAAAATGTCCACATTTGATATCCTAAAACTTACCCAAGATATACTGGTGCAAAAAATTTTATCCTTCACAACCACTACGGATTGGATAAAAGTATCAGTCACTTTTTTGTTTGACAAGACAAGAAATGATAAAAATATAATCATATAGCTTCAAGCCTTCAACTATAAGATTTTTTTTCCAAAAGGTAAATTAAGCTACTATAGCTTCGCTATTATGCTAAAATTGAATTGAGAGTCAAAGCTATTTTTAAAAGGAGGAATTATAAAAAATGAAAAGGGGAGGGAGGGAGGGGAGACCGAGAGAGGGAGAGAGACTGCACCTTCAAATTTCTAACTTGATAAGGGCAACCTGCAGGTACTAAAACTGCATCCCCTACTTTTTGAACAAAGGTCCATGGTTCAATTCCTTCGAAATAGAAAATAATTTTAATAAAAATTTAAGAAGAAAAAAAAAAGAATACCCCAAGCATTCAAGCTATGAGATTCATACAATGAAACACTCACCATATTCTTCCTTAAGCTTCCTTTTGTGATCCTTAGTCAAGTAAAATGTTTGATCATGTATAGGGTGAATAACCTACAAAGAATGCGAGACAAAAAGGAGTTGGCGCATGCAGAAAGCTTTCCATTGTAAATAATAAGACAGAGCAAAAAGCATGAAATGTTTCACAGATCATTTTTGTATCTATATACTCTCTCTCTCTCTCTATATATATATATATATATATATATATATATATATATATAAAGTTGGGAATATAAAGTTGGGAATGGAAGAGTTGATGTGGCACATCTAATAGGCCAAGAAAGTCATTTATCCTTTTTCTCATTTTTTGGATTTATCCTTCTGCAAATTTTTGCTCTTTTTTTTCTTTCTTCCGTAACTGCCTTTATATGAAGAGTTGCAAAGGCAAATGAAAGGTTGTTTTAATTGAGAAAAACTTCCCAATTTCAGTTTTCAGATTGCATTGAATGATGCATTAATAACAGAAGTATTATTTATAAATTTAGACAAATTGAAGAATGTAAATAATAGAAGGCTACTTTCTTTAGACTTTTGAACAAAATAATAAAAGGCTTCTCCCTTTATACGCACTGTATTAAAGCTCAGAATGCGTTAATTTTGGTAAATCCTAAATTCTTCTTTTTCCGTTTCTTACATTTTTTATTTCGAGTTTTGTAGAGTGATTCCTTCATGTGCATGTTCAAGATCGATTGTGTTGTGTATAACCATATCTTATATGGCGTGGGTGGTAATATTTTCTTCTTGGACTACTTCTGTGCTATGTATTTTAGAATTTCGTCATAACTGGTGACCTAATATTTATTGACAAACCTGTGGTCGATGGTTTTCTAGTCATAGATGTTTGTTGGAATTGGGGCTTATTTTTTTTATTCCGATTATAAGTTTCAAATTATTAAACGTGACATTGCATATTTGCATGTAGGTAACATGAGGGAGAAATTAATTGCTAAGAAGCATATTCCTTCGGCAACAAAGGCAATTGCACAGCCTTCAAAGCCTTCAAACAAGAAAGGAAATGCATAAACACAAGAAGCATCGCCAAGTAAAGCAAATGCTGGGCCTTCAAAAACTGCTACTAGGAAACAAAAAGTAGATACTTCTAAAACTTCCCCTAGTAAAGGAAATGTTGAGATTTCTATGCGTGATATGAGAAAAAAGAACAAAGAGCCATCAAAGTCTATTGGTAAAAAAAGAACAAGATCAAGGCCTAGATTAGTTGACGAGGACATACCTGTTAGTAAAAAATATATTTCAAGGAGCTCAGCATTAAAGGGTGTTGATGAGGGGGAGGAAGAAGACTTGGATATAAATGCAGTACAAACTCAAATAGAAGAACAAGTTTCCGAAAAAACAATTATCGAAAAAGAAAAAGACAGTGATGGTGAAGCTTTAGGTGGGGAGGATGATGAAAATGGTGATGCTGCTGCTCAGGAGGTTGATTAAAATGCTGAAGAAGAAAAAGAAGAAGATGTAGCAGAAGAAGAATATGTAGCAGAATAAGAATATGTAGCAGAAGAAGAAGATGGTGAAGAAGATGATGAACAACTTGAAGACGGTGAAGATGGGCTATAAAGTGAAACACATGCAGCAGTTGAAGGTCACCAGGATGCTCTTTCAATTCCTGTGTTTGTAAGGGCGATCGACGCATCTAAATACAAATTCAGGACTTTTCTAAGAAAGTATAAATGTTTTCCGGCCAAGATTAGCGTGAGGTCTAGGATCAATGTATTCCATGAGTTCAAGGATAAACTTAGAACAATAAAATTGATGGAAAAGTTTAATAGTAGTTTTTTTGGACAGTTTGCAAAACTTTCAGAGCACTGTACACATTTCAATGGACATCTTGTCCATTCCCTGCTGATTCACCGAATTTATTGCGCGAAGAAGCGCGAGTTATGGTTTTTAGTTGGAGACAAGACTGTTCACTTTGGATTGAAGGAGTTTTCTATGACGACTGGATTGAAATGTGGTGTCAAACCCAGTAAAGAAGAAATGAAGAAAGTGATGGATAATGACGAAGCATTCTACGACAAAGTTTGCTAGTCTAGCAGGAAGGGTGTGGATGCAGAGCTCCTTTTGAAACAGTTGAAGTCCAAGAGGTTTGACACAGTCGAGAGGTTTAAGATTGCATTGGTGTGGTTTGTCCATTCAATCTTGCTTGCAAGGGATAACATAGGACACATCGATAAGAAGTTTGCTAGTCTAGCAGGAAGGCGAAGCATTCTACGACAAAGTTTGCTAGTCTAGCAGGAAGGGTGTGGATGCAGAGCTCCTTTTGAAATAGTTGAAGTCCAAGAGGTTTGACACAGTCGAGAGGTTTAAGATTGCATTGGTGTGGTTTGTCCATTCAATCTTGCTTGCAAGGGATAACATAGCACACATCGATAAGAAGTTTGC